ACTATTATTTTTCAGATTTTCCATTTAGACTATTTGAAAATATCTCCCTAAGTGTTATTCCCAGCATATTTACAAGTATTTTTCACAAGGAAATGCAATAAAGATATGATAAATAGTCCTATCTGGCCATGCCTTTCAATATTGGTGTAATCTTCTGAAGTCAAGGAGTGCCAGTCTAAAACATCATTATTTAAAAATATGCTGATGGCAGGCAGGGCCCTCTCAACAGCAAGGTCCAGGCTCAGAGAAATGCAGCAAGGCACAAGCCCACTGCTTCAAAAAGGAGATTTCCTGTTTAATGATCCCTTACTGAACTTAGCCCTTTTCCTGTGCCATGAGCACCCAACAAGTAACATATTTAGGATCATCTCTTACAGATCCCTTGCTCCATCTTGAGCTGAAATGCAGTTTTCATGGTGATGGCCACTAAAGCCACACAGAATAATTTCTGCAAAAGCATCAAGCACTGAGATATTTTTGACCAGCAATTCAAGAAAACAGCACAGGACTACTTTTTAGTAAGAGGGTGTCTTTCAGTAAGAGTGTAGCTTTGAAGGACCTGGACTGCACTGTAAATATTCACTGTGCAAATTTTCAACATTCACTTCTCCAGCTTTTGACTGCTCTAATAATACAAAGAGTACAAATAGATCTTTTACTTACTTGCTGTCCTTTTGTTGTACTTTACACCGAGCTTTTCATTGTTTGTGAAAAAAACCTCCAAATGACTCCTCCAAAGAATACTCCTTTGTACCATTAATCAGCCTGTTCCCGAAATTCAAACATCTGTAAGTCCCACTAAGGACATGACCCCAAAACATTCATCCAGCAACCTCTACCCAATAAGCTGGTGGCCCTTGCAAAGAGATCAGAATTCTTAAAAGAGGTTACTAAAGTATCAGTAAGCTAAAATAACATTTTAATTATTAGGAATTCACCTGATTACAAATACATTTCTGATTTTTAAAGATTTATCTGTACATTTATCAAAATTATTTTGCAAAGGAAGTCATATTGAGCCTGGAGAGACTTCAATGATTTTACTTTATATACCTTCACTAATCTCTGGTTATCAATTCCAACAATACAATGTTATTTTTTCAACATAGCTGTAAAGAGAAAACAGGACAAAAATAAGCCACTGGAATAACAGATCATTCATCACAAAATTAAATATTCTGAAAACCAGGGTCTACTTTTAATTGCAACACCAGCCCAGTATTTTTATGAGTGCTATTTGTGCACTAAATTATTTAATAATTATGCAAAAAGCCCTGAAATTATGCAAGTTCAAAGCTATTTCTCTTTAACCTTTGTCCAGTATGTAAAGTAAGAAAAATACTTGTCTTTGTGCCTTTTTTCATATTCTCTGAAGACTGTAGGTTTGCTTTTCCATGCTAACATTAAAATACCAAACATGAACAGATGTTATAAATAAACAGCCTGTACTCCTGCAATAAGTTGGGTACTTGCCTTTTCTTGGTGCCCAGTTGCTACTGGCTATTCCTTTCTCCTGTTTTTTGTTGTTGATTTTTTTTTTCCCCCCTTCAATGGAGTACTCCAAGGATCTGCTCTCCATCATCAGCTGACAAACTGAATCCTGAGTGGCAGGTGGTCTGTCCCACACGGAAACAGACTGGGATGGGATAGAAAGGTTTCTGCTTTTTCAAGTTGTACTGAAAAAAAACTGTTTGGTTTGAACCATTTTCTCTTTGACAAGCTCTGTGCATGTCCTCAGACTCTGTGATTTGCTGGAATAGGGATGTTTTGGCCAAGAGCAGATCCATTTACCAGACCTGCAGGGCAACCAGGGACCTCAGAGGTTTTTGGCTGGACAAAGGTCCTCTGCACAAAGCTCACTGGTCAAAGCTCACTGCAAAACTGCAGCTCAGGACCAAATATAAATTTCTGGAGTTTGGTGCAACTCATTCTCAAGCCAAGCTGCAATAAAAACCACATGGATGAATGTGGTAAATGTATTCATGGCTGGGAGGGAATGGCAGGGGGTAGAACAAACTACCTTTCTGAGCAGTTCATTGCTGTCATCCTTGCTTTTGGTGCTGTTAATATGCTCCTGTCTTACCCACAAACAGAGCAGCAAGGCTGCATGAGACATGCTGCAGAGAAAAGTCAGAGTTACAACCTAACACTGCAGGTTAAAGCTTTCCCCAGAGGACAGTCTTGTACTGGAATATATCATTTTTTATAGTCCTGAACCTTCAGTGTGGAAATCCTGTTTCTGTAAAAACTTTGTGATAAGAAAAAAAAAAAAATCAGTAAAACCTCAAATTGCAATACTTATATTTAACTCAGTGCCTATATTTAATAGATTTTTTTCTTGAGATCTTTGTAAAATACATCTACTACCAACATTCGAGTAAGAATTAAAAGGTATTTATTTTGTTGAAACACAATTCACTAAGAAATCCAGTATTAAATATGTATAAAATTTCCACTCCACTCGAAATTTCAGATTTGCTAGTTTTACAGCACTTTGTAACAAGTTTTGAAACCCTTTCCCACAATACAGGAATTCCTATTTTTGTTCTGATCTACAGTCTCTTACTTGACATAAATCATACACACATACCCCTTTCATACAACTAATGAACATGGGTGGAATGTCACATTCCACCCATGAGTAAATAAATGAGTACATTATTTTATAGGTTCTGTCACTGTGTTCAGTGTTGGCACCCAAGGCATCCAGGGAGCACACAAACAATTGAATGGTGTGGGTGGATCAGTGGAGCATACACCAGTACCCAGCTGCTCATATTTACCCAATACTGGTTATATTTGCTAGGATGGTGACAGCAATGAGAAGATACTTACTTATTGGAATATGAATCCCAATATTACCAGTTAGATGGTGCCTGGGCCAGTCTGACCCTTGCTGCGAGGCCAAAGGCGGCAGCTGTGGTGTATCACCCCAGAGACACCTTTAGCTTGCTGGTGGTTGCAGCTGGGCCCTAAGCAAGTCCAGGCTTGTTAGGAACTCCGTTTACCTCAGGAGGAAAGCTTCAGGCGATGGTGAAGAGAAAAAGGAGAGGATTCTGCTGGAGGGTTATATCCAGAGGTTTATTCCATGGTTACAGAGGTCTGAATCTTTGGAACAGCTCCCCCAACAGAATAACAGCTGCATGGCCTGATTCACCTTTTAAGCTCCTGGGGCAGGGAGAGAGGAGGGGACAGGTGAGCCACCAACCAGGTGGGAGGGGCAGGGTCTCAGGGGAGAATGACAGCTAGACAGGCCAATGACCCCCAGGCCTGAGGGGCATCCTTTGAACTTGACCAACCACACGACGCCTTGTTGGAATGTTAAGCCTGATTGACTCAGCAAGGTACGAGGGGGGGGAGGGGAAGAGGGTATTGGTACACCTGGGGAAGGGACCTGAAAGTTTAAAACACACCGCAACACTTACTCCTGAGTTGAAGCAGGAAGAGATGAGCAACAGCCAAATAATAACTTGAATAGGAATTCCTCAGCATGACACAGCCTCACCCTAAATGAGCCACAGGCCCAAGGGGTCCTGTCTCTGCAACTCTTTCTGTACTTCATCATTTCAAATTCTTTGACAATGATATAGACATATAGCCAAATATGAAGATATAGCAAAATGTACTGGAGCTAAACAGGGGGATCTGCTTCATGGGGGCCATTTCATAGACATAAAATGGATCCCCTTTCCTCTTCAGTGGTGGTTACGTTCTTGTTTACCAAATACTTTAATTAGAAAGCAGAGATCTCGACTAATTTTAATTTATGTGACTAACAGATTGAACACAAGATGGGTGATGCCAATTCCAGAATATGAATATTTGCCACCTGGATCCACTCCATTTTTGATTTAAGAAGATTTTTCAGTGATAAGAAATGAAGCTGCAACTTCTGTATCTTTGACTCTGTAACCACGGAAACCAGCATTAATTATATGTATCACTAAGTTTTAAATGTATTCAAATTTAACACATAACTCTGAAAATATTGAGGTTGTTTTTTCTTTTCTCTCTCACCTTAATATGTTACAGTTTGCCTTCTGGCTTATTTGGCTTATAAGCAGTTTCACTTATAAATTGATAAAAGTATGTAGGTGAAAATTACACTCATTTTCTTTTATGTAACCAAGAGGTAGAGCCATGTAAATGTTTGATCACTCACCACCTACCACTGCTGTAATCACATGTGTGGGGTTACATTTATGTTAAGGAGGTGCCATTCCCAACAGTGAGAAAGCAGCAAAGTTCTGCCAATGACTTTACAAAATAGCAACATCTCTATGGAGGACGGCAGTGAGGGCTCATGGAAACAGGAATATGAAGGAAAGGAAACAAGGAAGAAAGAACCCCAAAATTTTCTCATTCTTCCCACTGCCGTACCATAACCCCATAATAAATGTCAGAGGAAAATTTGAAATATACCTCTGAGGAAATCTTCATTCCCAGACTTGCAACCGACATTTTGGTTTAGTGAACTGCCAAATTTCTAACCATGATTGCTCTGTTTTACCAAGTTCCATGACTGATGCCTGAAGGATCCTGAACCTGCAAATTCATCATTTGGGCATGAAATTATCAGAGACACATTCAACTACTTCATACTTTTTTCTATGGCTAAAGGGGCATCTGTTATAGTCAAAATATGACGTGGAAGCACCAGAGAACTGACAGCATAAGTGTTTTAGATCAAAAGCCTTATCAGTTATTATCCCTTTTTTAATTCATACCAATAGCTGAGTATGGATATGCAGCTCCAGTGCATCCAGGTGGATGACAATGACCCAGGCTTGGTCCAGAGCTTCTGGGTATGATCACACAAATGAGCTGAGCAGTATCTGGGATTGATCCCTGGAAGCAGAATTCAATCATAGCAGTGTTAAATTGCGAGGTCCATCCTTTGGATGGTTCTGGCCAGAAACAGTTAAGTTTCCAAACAATTCCCAGACACAGCTCGAGACCTGACACAGATCCCTCACAGCACAGTAAACTGAGGAGCTTAGAAATGTCTGGATCTTGGTCACTATTTTGTGTACATTGGTCTCTGGGTTTGTATATGACTTTGCTAATGCTGGGGCTCAGGAGGTGAAACTGAAATGCATAGATGTCCTTTTTCAATGATGTCTGAAACTTTTTGAAATGCAGGACTTTTTGAAATGCATATTTTGGGTGTGGCTACTCTATTTTGGACCCCAAAGGCAACTGCTAGCATGGACACAGCCCATAAGGGCCAAAACCCATACCCAATATGACATATATTATAGCATAAAAGAGACCACTGAGGCAGAAGTAGGACTTGACACACAAATGCACTCGGCCGTGAAGAGGAACTTGTTCTCCATGATATCTGGCTGTTCGTCTCCCTCTATATTTCACAAAAATTTCTCACATTGGTATCAATCAAACTGAACTGAAAGAACTGCACAGGACCCTGAGAAGGCTACAGTATCCTCCAGGGCTGTGTTTTCTCTGACCAATTTAGTGTTCATAACCAGCCTGCTCAGGGAAAAAAAACCTACCCATCCCTAAAGTCAACAAAGGACAAGGGTTGTTTGGGTATTTAGAGAGAAGTCACAAGCTTTCCTAGGTTCCTTCTCTAGTCAATGCAGAGACAGATCCCTACAGTAGGTGATTCAAATGAATTATTGAAATTCAGCTGCAGTAGAAGGCAATTCAGGGCCATGAGCCTCCTTAGACAGGTTAACTTCAGGTGCCTCCCATCACAGATTAATTCCTCAGAACATTTCAAGATAATATTTGATCATTTATTAACTTAAATCAAACACTTTGCATTTCATAATAAAACTTCAACAAGCAACTGCTACTTTAGAATGTCACCTCTAGTAGATAAGACTGAGGCAAAAAGGGGAATGCCAAGTGAAAGTCTTCTTTTAAATGGCCACAGGCAAATCAGCTTAAACAAAATCTGATATCCATAGAGAGTTTGATTCTCTGTGTTTAATAATATCCAAGAAATGCAGGTGGGAAGAAATACCTGAGGCTATCAACTGAAAAGAAAAAAATCCAAACAAAGCAATACTGCAGGGGTTGCCTCACTTTGTCCTGTCCTGGTTCACAGAAGTGACTTTAGATCCAGGTGCTTCTTTCTACCTGGTCTTATTGTGCCAACATTGTGAATCAAAGATCATGTTTATTCAACAACAAAGTACCAAAATGATCGCTTCTTATTTCAGGAAAAGAACAGATCTGAGAAGCAGAAGTAGATACCACTGAACCAAAGATACTGGCTAAAATATACACCTTCTCCTTCTTATGCTATTGATTTGCTCATTGGTGTTGAGATGCAACATTTATCTTTGGTTTACTTACTTTTAATGGTAGCTTTCAAGACACTAAAATGTGGGCACTGTAATGAATCTCCTGAAGCCTATGGGAGCAATTTAGTTACCTCTGGGAATGACACATTAGGACTGCATAGACCTTCTTATTTATATTGTAATAGCTCCTATTACAAGTGGACATTTTGGAGATAAGCTGGTGCAGCCCCTGTGCCAGGCTGGGCCAGCAATTATTTGTCCTTGCTGAGAGTCAGGGCACAGCACTGCTATGCCAATGGGCTAATTAATTCCTGCAAATGCAAGCTGCCCTAATTAAAAAGCTGTAAAAACACGACACGTTTTGAAACAACCTGAGTTCCACATGGGGTAGCAGTAGTTGACACCCCTGAATTTTCTCCCCATTTTGAGGGGCCAAATGAAGTTAATGGTCTGATGGTTTCCACTCAGCAGCCATGGAATCTGATTTACTCTCAGTATGTATCCCCATGCAAAAATCAATTCAACTCAGATTCCTCAGCTTAAGAAAAAGATCAGCTGGTAAGAAAGTAGTATGCACATCTGTACTCTCACAGTAGGTGTGAGGGCAAGAAACAAGCAATGATTACTAACTGTTTCTTACTATACAAAATTTAGAATCAACTAATGAAGTTACTAGGCAATAAGATGAGAATAAGTGAAAAGAAGTTGCCTACCTCAAAGAAACACACACAAAACAATAATTAAATTTCACAGCTTGTCACCACAGGATACAGTGGTTTATAATCAAGTTCAAATAGGGATAAATTCAGAGAATCCACCAAACGCAAACGGCCCAGGTGCAGGATCTCCTTGAACACTGTTGTTTTATTTAAATACTTGCTGTAAGCAGTTGTTACCAACCAATGACCAGGAGGGGAGGTAGGATTTGTACCTGAGTTATTGTGCCTGTGGCTCTCTTAGTCTTGGTCACATCCTCAGGGCTTAAGAATGAGAACAAATTGTACTTAGCACAGACACCAAGGGGATTGCAAGGCAGTTTTGGACACTCACCCAGTAGATCAAGGGCCTGATTCTGCAGACCTATTCCTAAAATACTCCCAGATGCCCACACATCCTCTGGCCAGCCCACTGTAAATGCTGTTGTGTTGTATCACCACACAAATCTTGTTTATTGCACTTAAAAATTCAAAAATCTCCATTGGTGGTTGTTTTTTCCTATGTTTATTAAACATTTTTTCCATATTACTAGATTATTGAAGTCCTAAACTCATCCCCTTGTTATTTTTCAAAAGACAATGAGCTGAGGGGAGAGGGGGCAGAGAAGAGGATGGCAGTGCAGAATAATGGAGTTTGCCTCCTCTTTACTTAATCAAGAGGTCTATCTCTTTAAAAAGCAACTTCTTTGTTACAATAAGCTGCTTGCTAACACAAAGTCACTGCTCTATTGATCCTGGAAAATAACACTGATCTTTCATGAACTCTTCTCAGGCCCAGGATTTTCCAAATCTTTTCGGATTTTTATATTTTTAACAAATTAAATACTTTACATTCAGCTATACTTTTACATATAAACTACTCCAATGAGAGATATAGTGAGACTAAATGAAAATGGTCTCTGAAACTGGAGTTGCTGAGAAGGCTAACTCAGATGGGTTTACCTTCTGAGTTCCAGTTCCATTATTTCCTATTCACTGCAGGTCTGCAGGTTGGACTGGCTGCCAGGACTCTCTGATATTAACCCTACTTCTGAACTCACCCCTAATTATCTCCAGAATATCTGACAGCCAACTGAGTGCAAAACTCATTGGCATTTCATCCTATTACAAGAGAAAGAAATAGACCCATTTAACTGGCTTCTTTGTCCAAGCACAGCACTCAGCATCTGCGTGAATTCCTATTCCCTTTCCCACAAAGCAAACTCTGCTGTTGCTGTAAGAGGGTAGCAGCCCTATTCTGCAGTGCAGCTCAGTACTTCATGCCATTGTCTGCAATACATCCTCCTATAAAAGCAAACTCAAGCCCACCCGTGCCTGAAACTCATATTAGATAGTGGAATCTTAACAATCCATCCAAAAAACTGCCAGAATCCATTGTAGTACAAGGCTGTTGCAAGGAGGATTTACAGGTAGCAGGTCTTTGGTAGACGGCAGTGTTACACATCTGTGAATTCCCATTGCTGTGCATAATTAGGAAGTATTTACATATGCTACTGCTTCTCACTGTTCTGAGGCACTCAGAGGATGCCAAGCTATTGTATCATAAATCTCATTGTTGAAGCAGATGGAGCTCCTTGCTCAGTTAAAACTTAGAGTTAGGCTTAATTAGAAAAGCCTGTGCAGAATATTCTTTATTTCTTTACCAACTTATCAAGTTCTTTATATTGCAAAGCAATTCAGATGAGAGGTCTTTTGAAATGTGCTGCTAATAAGCATTTTTACAGTGTCTCTTGCAGACAGCTCAATCACTACACACTGCATGATTATTTCCCACCCTTGTCCAGGCACAGTTACCCTGCAATTTTCCTCTCTCTCTCCCTCTTCCAGAAAAATTACACAAGTGGCTGTTTCTCTAGTATTGCCCTTGTAAGGATCTCAGAACACTGATCCTGTGAATTATCACAACACTTCTGCAGGATACTAATCTCATAGGCTTTTGAAGAAATTGAGTGCAAAGAGATTAACATGAAGATTCTTTAAAAGCTGATGAAGGTTGGGTTGGTTTTCTTTTTTAGCTCACAATAGCCTCACTTTCAAAAGCACAGCTCAGCCACACAGTTAAAACTGTGAATGCTTCAAATCTTAGTTGCAGAGGTCAAGTTGGATGGTTTTTGGTACCCTGACAAGGTACTGTTGCAATTCAAAGCTGTAGAACATCATTTTGCAATTTTTGGTCCAGGGGTGGGCTGGACAAGCCTGCAGAGTAGGAAATCTGTTTGGTATTTTTAAACAATTTAAGGAATTTAGTAATTTCCCCACACAAGGTTCAGTTTTGCAAGGCTCCATGACTCAGTCCTGGGGGTGTGTTTGAGAGGTTAGAGCTTCTCCACAGCACAACCCCATGCTCTATTGGGTGGGCCATGCTGCAGACCAGCCCAAAACATCACTCCTTGCCTGTAGCAGCCACACACAGCGGCCAAGAGGGTCTCCAAGCCATGTGCTGGGGATCAGCTGCAGAGACACAGCTTCTGGGAAAAATCACCTCAGATGGTGCACAGCTAGTGATATAAAACCCAGCTACAATAAGTGTTAAATGTCGTGGCTTTGTGCTCTAGAAATACAATGCCGAGACCTGAGCTGGATCCAAAGGGATTTGTTTATTGGTCTTGGTGATGTGTTGGCAGCCAAGTGAGGTGAGCAAACAGCATTTCTAGATGCTGAAGTGATGCACCTCAGCTGAGTAGGCCCTGCCAGATCCAAGCAAACTCTTCCATTGGGGCACTGACAATCCACTGCTTGGGTTCAGGGCATTGGCAACTCCAGCCAAAGCAGAATATTGGTGCTGCACATAAAACCTTCTCCCTCCTCCCATCTGTTCACCACATCTGGATGAGGAACCTGCCCTCCAAACTGGAATCTGTGGTCCAACTCTCTCTCCCCCTCAGGCTTGTCTGCAATTTTACAAACTTCCATCTTCACAGCAGTCTGGAGATGCAATCTCTTCAGAAGCACAAAGCTAACAGAAGTGACAGCAGCAATGTCCTCCTTCCCCCACCCAGTAACACCACACATGAGATTTTGAAACAAAATTTGATCAGTGTTAGGAGCAAGATTACAGGATATAGGTTGCTTCTCATTCCATGTAAACAAACAGGAGACTTTGTACAGGGATTCTGAGCATGTAGTTGCACTTTCCTTGGCACAACAAGTATTTTGAGGCTTCTGCTCTATTCAGCCCTTGAGGATATATTTGCATTCAAGACAAAATTTCTTTCCTCCATTTAATGCTTCTGTGTATCTATGTAGCTGCAGCAAGGCCAGCATCCTCTTAGGGGTATCAGACCAAGCCAAAAGCAAAAGAACAGAAAGAACAGTAAGAAGGTAAAGCCCAGTCAAGCAATCAAAATGGACTTTGCACTCTGGTAATTCCCAATTTGTACTCTACCCAAAAAAAAAAAAAAAAGAGCAAGCTATGCAAAATAATTTAAGAACTGCTGGGAAAAGCAGGCAGGTGAAACGTGCAAGTGCACATAAGCTATCACCACAACCCATCATAATCATGCTCTTCTCATGTTCCTGCTGTGACCACCTGCGACTCCTTAGCTCTCTTGACATGGGAGAAATGCCAGTTTCCAGCCTCCCACCTTGGCTTCTTCTGATGTAACTTAGTCAGAAAATTTTGTGACATACTACCACAGCCTGAAAATGCACATACTGTATCTGACTCACCCTCCTGACCCTGCCCAAACAGGATTATGGCTTTCAGTTTTGGGATCTGCTTAGCAGCAAAATCAGCTGCTGACAGAACATGATACATTCAACAGTCCTGAAGCCTAAGGTAGGTAATACAGAGGTAATAAAGAAACAAAATTATTTACACTGGAAGAAACTACAGCAACTTCTCAAAAACAGATCTGTGAGCATATTAACCTCTTGTTAATCACAGTAAGGAGACTGAGAGATCACATACCAGTCACTAACTACTTCAAATG